CAAAAAAATTCATTTTCATTAAAATTATTATTGATAAGAAAATTAACGTCATTATTGTAACTGTATTTTAAATTAAAACTCAGGTACGTAACTTTTTTTTTAGGGGAATACTAGGTTCATCATTTAATGAATGTATGAAAGATCTCAATATTTATAATGCAGCTATTAATATAGATGATGCAAAAAAAGTTGATAAAGCATTAGAAGTTAGTCAAGTAAGTATAATAATTAGAAAATATCTTAACTTTTGTTGAAATTTTAAAACATGATTATCATTTTAGCTTCTCGGCAATAATATTAAAGAGTTAGCACAAGATATAAGCTTTATAAAAAATCAAATATTAAATCAGGATCAAATTCATTCGAAAAGGGTTGATACGAGTGAAATTCATGCGGTAAAGGTTGATCCGAGTGAATTAATTGACCTTGGCTTTAGCTCCGCCAAGAAAATTTATAAGGGTTGCGAATCTGTTATTAAATATTCTAAAAGATTTTATGCTAAATTATCCATCCTTAAGAAATTAGATACATCACCATATATTCTTCATTTTTATGGCACACACAACTGATTGACAATAGAGAAGTTATGATTTTTGAATGGGCTGAACACAGAAGCTTAAAGAATTTTTATGATTCTTTTGATATCACTTGGATGAGGAAAATAAAAATAATGCATGATATTTCCTGTGGCATTATATTTTTACGTTCTATGAATTAAAAAACATTATTCGCTGGATGGCCCCTGAACAAATAGATAAATATCAAAATCCATGTAAAAAATGTGAAGAGAGATTAAATAATACAAGCAAATTAGAAAACAATGTTTGTTGGATTGCCCCTGAACATATGATGAAAATCGATGTGAATTGTGCAAGATAAAAGATGATAAAAATCCATGTGAAGAATGTAAAAAAAATGATCACCCAGCACTGCGAAACTTTCAGGTATTCTTTGTAATATATAAAGGTTGTACTTTAACTGCATTTAATTTTATTGTTATCCATAATAATTTTGGAATGCTTATTTGGGAGCTTTTTTATGAAAAATTTACTTATAAAAATTGGGATCCAAAAAAATATCTGGGCATGTTTTGGAAAAGACTTTTATCAGGAAAATTCAACAATCGTATTGATGAAAAATATTCAAAGAGAACTCATTAAAATAATTGATAATAGTATTCTTAAATTATTTTCCGATTTACAAATGCATATGAAAATAAAGTCCATAATAAGTCTTTAAAGAATTAACCAATGCCTATCCGATTTTTCTTGATGATCAAATTTATAATCCATCGAACCAAATGAATATCTTGATTTGCTAAATGAGGGAATACTCAAAGAAATTTTGGTAATATAACATTCCTATACTTTGTTTACTTTGGTAATTAAATAACAATCAGTCAATAATATAATTCATATTTCTTTAGAATATGAAGTCGAGAAATTTTCAAAAAAGATACCATGGAAAGAGTTAAATTTTAGGGAATAAATTGGTGAAGGGTACTTTGTATGTTGATATTTAGTTAGTACTGTACCTATTTCAGGGGTATTAAATATTGTCAATCAAATTATTTAGCATTGTAAGTAAAGCTTATTGAACGACGACAATACGTTACTTGCAAAAAATTGACAAATATGAAAAATATTAATGATCAACAATATACTACGTTTATGAATGAATTTAAAATGCACGTTGGTTTAAAAACATTATTCGATTTTTGGGAGTCAACAGAGGTATTTCTATTTTAGCCACCTTTTCTTATCACTTTCAAATATAATTAATTTTTTATAATATACTGTAGATATAGATCACAAATATTACCTTATAATGGAATTTGCAAATAACGGTGATTTGTATAATTTCCTTCAACAAAATCATTGTTCCTTAGAGTGGAAACAAAGGTTGAGTTTGGCTTTGCAAATTACAAACGGATTATTTGTGTTGCATAAAAAAGGAATAATTCACAGAGATCTGGTAAGATACTTTAGATTATGAAATCTGTAAATTAAAACCTATCTCAAAAACTTTACTTAGCATGACAAAAACATTCTTATAGATAACTATGAAAAAATAACTGATTTTGGACATGCCAGAAAGGTTAATATTGAAACACATGTTCATAGTCGTCTTTTTGGAAAGCCTTCTTTTTTAGCATCTGAACTACTAAAGAATAGTGATAATATTAATAAGATATTTATAGCCTTGGCTTCTTATTTTGGGAATAAGCTCTAGTTCCGATAGTATTATTTTATGTAATCACATTTTTAGTGGTAAAAGAGAAGAAATAATTCCTGAAACTCCTGAGAGCTATAAAATTCGTCATATTAAATGTTGGGATGATGATCCAGATAAACGCCCGGACATTGAATCAGTTTAGACTTAAAAAAAACATGATAAACCCTGAAGTCCCACGGAGTTATAATCCTATTATAAATAACCATAAAGGTATTGTACGTGCAATATTATTATTTAAATAATGTAATTTCATTGGGAAACTTAACATATCATTCGCCGATAATCGGCTGGTTAACAAGTTTCATCACCAATAATCAGAAATTCATTGGCAAACTGTTTCTTACAGAGTATTGCGCAAAAATACCGTTCCTGATGTGGAAAAAATTTTGATTTATGTTACTATTCCTGATAGGGTTCTTATGGGAACTCGATGTCGATTTCTCTTAGAGTCATCAGTGTTGGAAATTCTATGTTCTCACGTTCATACCTTTAGATTTGAGAACGTTCGATTATAAGAACATTATACTCGAAAAATATATTCTCTATATAAGTATAATAGCATAATGGTGAATGAAATAAAACTAGAAATCAAGTGGAGTTCCGAAATCAACCGAAAAGAAAATGAATGTATATGTTATATAAAAGATGAGAAAGGTTGGGACAAAGTTTGAATAAATGTCCGATATTTTCCGAGATAAGAAATTTAAAAATAGGGATATGATAAATTTTACTGTTGAGTACATAAATTAACATTAAATTAAATAAATTTGTTCTCATGAGAACCTAAATCTCAAAACAGATTTCCAACACTACCCATGATTAATCCATCATGCTGATCTCGACATTACAAACATTGATATTTGAAATAACATTAAGGATATTTGTGCTGAAAACATTTACTAAATACTGAAAGCTAATTGCGTGCTGACTATTTCCGAGTCTTTGGTTTATTTTATTTTTTTTGAATTTTATATCTTACAGTTTGATTAGATAATAATAGTGAGACTGTCATATTTTTACACCATGGCTTTACTCAATGTAGTTTTTTAGAACCCTATCAGGAACTGTACATAAAATAAACTAATATTTTTTTTTTTACCCATCAGGAGCGGTATTTTACGGGTATGGAAATTTACTATCGATAAAGTGATATTAAATGAACTTGTTGCTGGTGTGGTGAAATGGATTTGTAGACTAACCAACAGTCGGTGAAACAACTCAGATACTACAATTATATTTATGCAAATTCAACGCTGCATCTTATGCTTGGTTTTGCCGGAGGAAAACAAATTCTGGATATTGAAATTATAAATTGTCAGACTAAATCTTTATTAGATACTGACGAGAAATTAATATCAAATACAACTGACTTTTAAAATAATTATCATGGCTGTGCACTCATTTTTATTGATATAATAATTGTCAGGTTCGTGTTGTCAAAATTTGCATACTGATGATAGATGGTCTAATAGTGCTAATTTCATGTGATTTTTATATCTATCATACAAACAAAAACATTTCGGAATAAATAAGACGCAAAATTTTATAAACCTTATTGTAGCTAAACAAAGGTTTGTTCTCCGGCGGTTACAGTCAGCGCACAATCAAAAATTGTATATATGAAACTAACTTTCATGTTTTAAAATATTTCTTGCATAATTTTATATATTATAGCTATTTTTATACTAAATAAAGTCTTGCTACTATCACAGTTGGCGAAATAGATTACTTTTTTATAATACGTATGTTGCAAAAGTATGACTAAAAGTTTTAAACTTCTAAAAAAAAAAGATTATATAAAAAAAATTAAGTGAAATTCACCAGGATGTTATATTTCAAAAACATACTAAATAATTAAAGTTAGGTGGTTAAGTAAAATATTTAGGATCCTTGAAAACCTCATGAGAACTGAAATAGGGACGAATATTTTCTTGTTGTCTGGCAGGTATGACGTATACATTTACGGAAATATTTATAGAAGAATTTAAGGATGAAGACATACTCTTATATATGCTCTAATTTTACAGATTGTCAACATGGGGATCTCAACGCTTACGCTGTAGATTCTACATTTGCTAAAGGCGCAATGATTACAAGTTTATGCAATCGCGTATACGCGCTATTTGGAGCGTAAACGCCCTTGAATGAATTAAGCCACCAAGAATACATAATAATGCCTAATACTACTAATGCTAAGGTAAGATTAACATGACTAGCGTACAATTATAGAAGGTAAGTGACAAAAGAATTAGACAAATACGGAAGTGATGAGACACAGGAAAAATTAATCGTTACAATAAACTGTATATATGATTTGGCCAGAGAGCATAATGCCGGGCAGAATTAAGATTATGGTCCGAAAAATTCCGAAGAGAAAATGAACGAACATAAAAGACGAGCAAGGTCCGATTAAAAAACTTTATTAAAATCTACTATGTCGTTCTATTTTTCGCCCTCTCCCTCTTTTGAGAAAAGAATGTAATGTAAACCACCGAATTAAATTGTCCCGGCCTAACTTTGAGCGAATGTATCTCGACAACCATCTGACCAAATTCGATGAATTTTTTTTATTTGAATTTTATTAATCAATAGAATTCAAAAAAAATGGGATCGTATCTGGTCAGATGATTGTCGAGATATCTCCCTCAAAGTTAGAGAAAAAATTTGGCTCAGCTTTTATTTTATAGGCGATTTGACTAACTTTGAGCAAAGATATCTCGACAATCACTTAACTAAATTCGGTGAATTTTTTTTATTTTAATTCTATGGATCAGTAGAATTCAAATGAAAACGTTTTATCGAATTTAGTCAGATGGTTATTGAGGTATCAACTAACTGTCTAATCATTTTAGGCACAGAATTGCTGACTTTTTTGTCGTAAGGACCAGTTTTGGCCTCGGTAATAGAAAAACCTCCTTTATCAATACTAGATACAAAATAAAAACCTTCGGTGGCTTCTCCACTTCCTCCAACATATTTGTTCGGCATGGCTTCACTCAAAGGTTTGTAAATTCCTATTTTTACTGGGATCTGCACGTTGATCAGTATCAAAAAAGTACGTAGGTGCAGGAGCATCATAAATGAAAGCTTTGCAACTCTAGTGTGAACCCAAAATCATAACTCCGGAGGCACGTGGAAAGTGTTAATCGAAGTGGCGCAAAAATGATTTTATGGATTAAACCTAGGTGCCGCACAAAAAATGTGCGGCAGATCCTCGATTTTGATTGGCTAACGGCCGAGGATTTTCAAAGTTTTGACCCGCATTACATAATTGTTTACTGATTTCCGGCCGGAAATAACTTTTAATTTTTCATTACAAAAATAGAAATTTAAAGACAAGCCCGCATTATAACAAAATTGGCCCAGGAACAATTTTCACTTAACAGGTGGCTGCAATTTTCATGAGTAATTCAGCCTAATTTTTTGATCGCCGCTCTTAGCCAATCAAAATCGAGGATCTGCCGCGCATTTTTTGTGCAACACCTATATACTTAGAGGAAATATGTGGAATCAATGGTATATTTAGTATAATCATTATATGCATTTGCTATCTAAGTGGTAAATCATGAAAAAGATGTATAATGTGTCCTAAGCCAAAAATCCTGAGATTTTCTGGGCCAAATGATTACAAATTTAACTAGAATTAGCGGTCAAGTGTAATGTCAGAAAAATTTTCAGGGTAATGATTTAATTAAGAAATCTACAAAGTTGCAGCACATATAAAATTTATGACGATCTATAGGTTTTGTAAAAAAAAAGACAGTTTTCACTTCTAAGCTAACATGTATTCTTTATTATAATAATAAATTATTTTATATTTATATACTATCTATATTTTTTCCCTTTACGTCAAAAACCTTTGAAGTACCTTATTTTGAAAATGGCGTTTTGATACAATCGACGAAATCAAACTCAAAATTTGATTGGTTGGTATTCACGTTATTATCACGTTATTATCTATATAAATTTAATACAGCAATATAATGGCAATACATTTAAAATTTAATTATTTTAAGCATCTATTCTATTGAATATAGATTGAATTGCCATAACCCATTTAAAGTTCTAAACTGAATTCGTTTTCAGACACGTTCGAACCTAATCATTGCTTAGAGGATTTTTTTTTTACCTATATATTTAACATAAAATATTGATCACAATTCCGAAATAAAATGCGATTTTGATTTTGATTAATATAAACTAATTAGTTTGCTATCATTATTTGCATTTATGTCAAAGTTTCTTATATGTTTAAGTATTTTTATTTCCCATTTTTTAATTAAAAACTTCAAAGTTCTTCTCCTGACCGCTTCTAAATCTCTAATCCAACATTGTTCGAACAATAATTCATGTTATTGTCTGCTTCGCATTCAATACTGTATTAATTATATATATTACAGGATTACGTAAACAAATCCTTATTCGCAGCTAACCGCATAATTGATCGTCTATTCGCAGTTATTTGCAAACTTTAAAAAGGATTGCACAACCTCAAATATAATATACTTATCGTTTAGCTTGTAACACTTTATCAGTCGATCGAGATGTCACGCAGATCAGGTGAATAAATTTTTTACTATGAAACTAAGCGCTTGGGTTGTTTAAAGGGAGTTAGAACAGAGTATGCTATATCATATTTTAGTAAAATTATCAAATTTTATCAATTTCATATTATAATTTATAGCAAAACAGGTATTTGTAATAATGATGATGAGAAATTGTTTGATGTTGCCTTTACACATTATTAGTTATTTTGTAATGTTATTAGTAGAGATTTTTATACACTTCAGGTTAGGCCATACAAACTTAATAATTCGGTTTTCATAACATAAATTTTAAAAGTGACCCGGCAACCCGGCTTTTAATTTTATTTTCAAAAAATTTTATATATAAAAAACATATAAAATTTTTTATTAATTTTTAAAAAAACTCGCCCGGATAGTAAATATACTAAACATTTTTTCCTAAGGTTTTGTAAATTTTGACCCGGCCGGGTTATGAAAACCGATTTATTAAATTTGTATGGCCTTGTGTATAAAATTTTATTATTTCAATCTTTTATATCACAATTAAGAAGCTAACATGTTACCTTTTTTTTTCTTAATTAATTTTACCTTCATTTAATTATTCTATATTGTTATTACAATGCATTCCATATTAAGTTATTTATTTATTATTTATCTATCTAGCATAATACGGTGACTATAGAGATGGGTTTCATGCGTGCGCATGATTCCTCAATGGTGCGCATTAATGCGCATTCATGCGCATGATTCTGAAACATGCGCATTTTATCCCATCTAAATTTTATATAGGTAAATTAAAGTATATTTAATTTAGGCCAAGTTGTATAATGCCAGGCAAAATTAAGAAATAGGAATGTAAAAGTTTTGAAAATTTCCGAAAAGAAATGAATGAACATAAAGACAAGAAGGGTTGGGAAAAATTTTGGCAAATACCAGACATTTCCTGGAGGGAAAATGTAAAATAAAAAAATTATATCATGCGATATCATGCGCATTTTATATAACGTGTGCATTAATGCGCATTTTTGCCATCTCTAGGTGACTACCATATGTGGTTGAGTTTGTATCAGAATTATCGTAATTTCTAATAAGTATGTAGATAGGTTGAGTGGTTTGCATTAGAATTGATATGATTTTATTATGAGTTACTGAAAAATTCTGCTACAAAGCTTACTTGCTATTCCAATAATCACAATGTGTAGTTGAGGCGAGTTGGTTTGAATCAGAATAATCATAATTCGCATTGTGTGTTACTGTAAATAATTTCATACGAACTTGCTATTTCGGTGACTACATTATGTAATTAAAATTAAGTTAGTTTATATTGGAATTATGAATTATTATAATTTTTTTTATTATGAATTACAGTAAAAAATTCCACTACTGTATTTTGTTGAAGAACTTGCTACTTAAGGGGATCTACCCTAAAATCCCGAAAGACAGTTTCCCGAAAAAGACATAATACCGACAAAGTTAGCCAGCATTAGTTATAATGCTGGCCAATTTAGTCAGTATTATGTCCTTTCGGGAAAATGGCTTTCGGGATTTCAGGGTAGAACCTACTTAAGGTAGGTTAGCTTAACAATTATTTGTAAATTGCTAAAAAAAGTTATGTTACAAATTTACTATTCTGGTTAAATGAGTTTATATTAGAATTTTCAAAATTTTTATCATGAATTATCATAGCCAAAATTCTGGTACAAAATTACTTACTATTCCAACAACTATAATTTGCAGTTAAATTTGTGTAGTATGTATTAAAATTGCTATAATTATTTATTGTAAATAATTCTTTTACAGAACTTGCTATTTTGGTGACCACAATATGTGGTTAGTTTGCATTGGAATTGTCATGCATTCTATCATGAGTTATGTACTATAAATAATTTTTGTTATTTGCTATTTTAGTATTAAGGTGAGCTAGTCTTTGCTTTAAAATTGTCATAATTTCTTTATGAGTTACTTAAAAAATTTTGTTATAGAACTTACTTGCTATTTTGGAAACCACAAATTATGTTGAATTAGCTTGCATTGAATTAACATAACACATTCATGAGTTGCTAAAAGCGCTATTACTGTATAGCTGCGAAATAACGCCCACCTGCATATTAATTAATTGACCTGTGTGTTATTTCGAGCACGCTCATGTGCATTATTTCGAATTAAGAGTTGGCTTTTTGAATCGTACCTCTTAATTATAATAATATTAAAAAAATTGCACCAGAACTAGGTAGACACTAAGTAAACCTACTTGCTTAAATGAAAGAAACAATTTTTGTCAGGCTCAGAAGTAGGCTTACTTAGTACAAATCAAGTTCCGGAGCACTTTTTGTTTTCTTTACTTTTTATGTAGGCTATATTGAGATGCGCGTTAATTTGGAACGCCCATGGGCGCTAATTCGAGACCGTATATTTTATTTTAGGGGGGTTTGATTTTCGAAATAATGCTCACGAGCATTATTTCACAGCTATACGGTACAGGGCTTATTTTCTGTTCTGATTAAGATGGGTCATATTGAAATTATTATGTTTCTATCACAAATTAATATAAATAGTGTTTTGTTACAGAGATTATTTACTATTTTAGTGAACATAATATATAGTTAAGTTTGAGTTAATTTGCATTAGATTTCTATCATGGATTACTGTAAATAATTCTATTATAAAACTTACTCACTATTCATTAACTATTAATATGTGATGAAAATTAGTTTGTATTAGAATTGTCATAATTTTTATTATAAATTACTGCAAATAATTTGTTACAAACTTACTATTATGTTAATTATAATATGTGGTTAGAATATTAGATAAGAATTTTAGCCTTGTTACTTTTTTTAAAATATAAATATGGTCTCTAAAAAAAAAAACAGAAGTGTGTTTTCTAAAAAAAAAATAAAATATAAGTATGGTCTCTAAAAAAAAACAGAAGTGTGTTTTCTAAAAAAAAAAAAAAAACAGAAGTGTATTCTCTAAAAAAAAAAAAACCATATGCTTTCTAAAATAAAAAAAAACAGAACTTACTTTATATTTTTATTAGCACATTTTAAATATAAGATTTATAATATTTATTCTATTAGCATAAATTTAAATATATCCTATTTAGTGATTACCTGTTTTCAAATATAGCCTTTTTACCCAATACATACCTTTCAAATATAACCTTTTTTTAAAAAAAGGGCCCATAATAGCAATTTTTTCAAATATGACCTTTATATAGATTATTAGGGGTCCTGTTATGGCACATGCCATATTTTTTGCCGTAATTACTGTAAGCTGTAATTCTGTAATGCCGTAATGTCATAATGCCATAAAGCTATAAAGCCGTAAAGCCATAATGCAGAAATATTATCTGCTATAATTCCATTTATTAAAATGCTGTACTGCATTATGTTTTCCTTTAAATAACGTACTATTAAATATTTTTCGAATTTGGTTCTGTTGACTTTGTTGATTTAGTAT